GTGGCCCCCCCCCTCCCCCCGGCCCCGCTGAGCGTGCGCGACATGTGGCCCTACTGGCTGCAGCCGCGCGGCGCCGGCGCCTCCGCCGCGGTGTTTAACTCCTTTAGACATGGCGGGTCTCTTCCTGCTCGACCGGCCCCAACATGGCGGGCAAGTCCACGCTGCTGCGCTCCACCGCGGCCGTCGCGCTGCTGGGCGCCTGCGGGCTGGCCGTCCCCGCGCGCGCGGCGCGCCTGCCCTACCTGGACGCCTTCATGCTGCGCAACTTCAGCGCCGACTCGCCGCTGGAGGGGCGCAGCTCCTTCGCAGTGGAGATGACCGAGATGCGGTACGTGCTGGAGGACGCCTCGCCCCACTCCCTCGTCCTCGTGGACGAGCTGGGGAAGGGCACCGAGGCACGCGCCGGCGCCGCCCTGGCCGGCGCGCTGCTGGAAAGCCTGGACGCCACGGGCTGCCGCGGCGTGTTTGCCACGCACCTGCACCCGCTGCTGGAGCTGCCGCTGCGCCTGCGTGCCACGTGCCGCATGCGCATGGCCACGTGCACTGATGCCAGCGGGGCGCGCCGGCCCACGCTGCGCATGGTGCCGGGGTCGAGCACCGAGTCGCTGGCGCTGGAGGTGGCCAGGGCGCAGCGCCTGCCCGCGCGCGTGCTGGAAAGGGCGGCTGCCCTCTACGCCGACGTCCAGGCCTTGCACGCCGCGCCGGAGGGCGGGAGGGGGAGATTGGACGACGACGACGACGAGGCCGCGGGCCGGAGTGGTGACGCTGCGGTGGCCGCAGGACGGGGCATTGCCACAGACCTGACTGAAACACGGGGTCTCGAGCCCGCCAGCGCCCCTGCCACTCTGAAGCTGAGGTCGCTGGCAGAGGCCGGGGAGCTGCTGGCACAGACTGCTAGCAGGGTGCTGGAGCAGCTGGGGGCTCCTGGTGCGGCCAGCGCTGGCCGATCCCCCGCGCCAGCCATCGACGCTCTGTCTCCGCCCGAATCCCCGGGCCCCACCCCGGCGCCGGCGCTCAGCCCCCTGGCCGTCGTCAGGGCGGGCCAGACCCCGCCCCCGAGGACAGTCGGCCTGTCCTGCGTCTACGTCGTCAGGCGCACCGACGGCTGGTTTTATGTCGGTGAGGAGCGGAGGCTCTGGTGGTATGCTCTGCAACCATGCCTGCATCAGGCTGCCATGATGGCTATGCGTTGCGACGATCTTATGTCCCCCCCCCCACCCCCCACCCCCCACCCCCCGGCCCCGACCCCTAATGTAACACCCCTCCTCTCTTACCCATGCAGGGTCCACGGATTCAATAAAGGAGCGGCTAGCCACACACAGGAGGAGGAGCGGGGCATCCAGGGTCAGAGATCCGCAGGCCGAGGCGGTGTATATGACTGTGACGGGGGGCGAAGGGGCCGGCAGCTCGGCACGGGCCATCGAGGCCGCGACCATCCACGCCCTGCGCACAGCGGACTTTCCCCTCCTCTCGTCTGCGGATGCTCGTCTGCGGCAGAACCCTTCCTTTGGTACGGCGAATGGCGCGGGGTTGGTGATAAGTCAGGAGGCGGCGAGCGGTCAGGAGGCGGCGAGCAGTCAGGAGGCGGCGAGCAGTCAGGAGGCGGCGAGCAGTCAGGAGGCGGCGGGCAGTCGGAGAGCATCCTCGTGGGTGGTCGAGTCTGAAGCTCCCTTCTGATCACCGACACTGTCAAGCCTGAACTGTTGCCATATCTTCACTGCTGAACCCCCCTTGTCTGCGCTGGATCTGCATCAATACGAACTACAAAACTCTGGACCATGCGGGCAGGGGGGGCAGTGGCAGCAGAGCTCAGGGCCATGCCTGGCAGGAGCATCCCGACCCACTGCGAGCATCCAAGCGCAAGGCTGGAAAAAGGGCGCAAAAGAGGATGGTTGTGAGGGGTGTTGGTGGTCACAGCTACTGGAGTGGGAACATTTGGCAGGGGTGCCTGCATCTGGGCGGCAGGCAGTGCGTGAAGAACTCCGCTCAGATCTTGGACTGCGTGGCGTTGCCCGCCGACAGCTTGCGGCCCGACTTGGCAGCCGCCAGCAGGTACTCGCACGGCTCGAAGAAGCCAGCCTGTGCCTTGTACTGCGTTGCCCACTGCTTCAGGCGACGCACGACGTAGTCTGCGAGGTTCAAGAGTGGGTGAGGTGAAGGTGGGCAAGGGGCAGATGGGGAAGGTATGCTAGAACACTAGTCATGGAGCATCTAATGACAGAGAGGCCATCCCTGTACAATACCATCAACACACTCCCAAACAATTTTTCCCCTCCATCGTCCCGTACAAACCTGCGCCGACGATGTCGCCGTAAAAGACAACTCCGCCCCGGTAGGCTGGGAAGCCCATGGACATGACGGTGGCGACGTCCAGATCTGCGGGCTTGTCCACGATGCCTGCAGACAAGTGTGGGGTTGAGGTGGGCGAAATGGAGAAGGGAACATCCAGGGGGTGAGTCAGGGGTGGACTGCACACGTCACATGCTTGCCTTCTATATTCTCAGAACAAAGCTCCTCGCCCTGAATATTCCGTCGCTTGCCCCTCTCTGACGACCGACCCCCAGTTTACACACTCCAGCCCCGCACCTTCTGCGACGACACGGCATGCTTCATTGATGACCGGGAAGAAGACGAACTCGGCGATGTCCTGGTCGCTCAGCTTGGCCGCAAAAGCGGCATTCCCAGACAGCCCCGACCTCTGTGCGCGTGTGTGTGATTGTGTGTGTGTTTGGCAGGGTTGTGGTGGTGAGGGCGGGGATCGGATCGTGCAAAGGGTCCAGCATACCCGCTCCCTCCTAGGCTCCCTCTTTCACCCCACCAAGATCCATAGTCCCAACTCCTGCCTCCCCCCCACTCCAGCGCCCCCCAAACAACCCCCGCACCTTGCGCGACTCGAGGACGATCTCTGCCAGGGCAGGGTCGGGGCGCGCCTTGCGCTTGTCGTCAAACACGTACCACCCCTTCTTGGCCTTCTCGCCCAGGCGCCCCGCCTCGTTGAGCAGCGGGACCAGGGCGGAGCGGTAGATGCGCTCCGGGAAGGCCTCCAGGTAGGACTTGCCCACGAACAGGCTGACGTCCAAGCCGACGAGGTCGCCGAGGCGGAAGGGCCCCATGGGCATGCCAAAGGCGGCAACGGCGGCATCCACGCGGTACGGGTCCAGCCCCGAGTCCACCAGCATGGCCGCGGCCATGGAGTATGGGAAGAAGACGCGGTTGACCGCAAACCCTGTGCAGTTGCCCACCACCACGGGCGTCTTCTTGATGCGCGACCCGTAGTCCAGCGTGTCCAGGATCACCTGGGGGGAGGTGACGTCGGAGCGCACGATCTCCAGCAGCGGCATGATGTGGGCGGGGGAGAAGAAGTGCGCGCCAATGATGCGGTCCTGGGTTTCGGTGTGGAAGTGGGTGGGGTTGGGAACAAGGGGGTAGGTTCTGCTGGGGTTTGCCAGGGAGGTGCAGAGACTGGGTCTCGCTGCCCAGGGCCCATGCAAGGCAAGGCCCGCCCCCCCCCC